GCCTCAGCCTGGGGATGCTCTCCTTGCACGGCGCGGGGGGCACATGGCACCGCTGCGTCGTCGTCGGCGTCGGCGTCGGCGTCGTCGTCGTCTTCGGCCTCTCCCTCTCTGGTGGCGCCCAGGACACCTGAGGGCGTCGGGGGTTCGCCGCCCAGAAGAGGCCCACTGACAGGTGACGGGGGGCGAACTTGCACGGCGCGGGGGGAACATGGCACGGCCAAGTCGTTGTCGGCGTCACCGTCGTCAACGCCGGCGTCGTCGGCGCCAGCGTCGGCCCTGGCGTCGTCGTCGGCTTCGGCGTCGGCCTCAGCTCCGTCAGCGCCAAGCTGACATGGCTCAACCACATCGTTGTCGGCGTCAGCGTCATTGACGTCGGCGTCGTCGGCGTCGGCGTCGGCGTCGGTGTCGTCGGCTTCGGCATCGGCCTCTCCCTCCCCGGTGGCGCCCTGGTCGTCTGCGGGCGTCGGGGGTTCAGCCGATAGCTGCGAATCATTTGAATAAAAGAAGGGCCCGGAGCAGACGACGGATGGCGAGGGCCCAACAAGCGTAGATGGCACGTCGATGGCGGGCGCCGGACATGGCACAGCCATTTCTGTCGTTGGAGTCGCCGTCGTCAACGTCGGCGACGTCGGCGTCAGCGTCGGCCCCGGCGTCGTCGTCGGCTTCGGCGTCGGCCTCAGTTCCGCCAGTGCCAAGCTGACATGGCTCAACCACGTCGTCGTCGGCGTCAGCGTCGGCGTCGTCGGCGTCGTCGGCGTCGGTGTCGGCGTCGGCGTCGTCGTCGGCTTCGGCATCGGCCTCTCCCTCTCTGGCGGCGCCCTGGACGTCTGCGGGCGTCGGGGGTTCGTCGTCCGCAAGAGGTCCACTGACAGGGGCGGGGGGGCGAATGCGCGCGAAGAGGTTTCTCTTAACGAGCCGGCGCATGGCTATGTCGTCCTGCGACTGGGTGGCAGGTCCGTGGTCTCCCTGTTGAGTGGAATCGATGCTGATCCCTATGCCGCTTCCCCAACCGCGCGCCCACTCGTCGTCCAGGGTGGCATTTCTGCACTCGCTCTCGCTTGGAGGCGACCCCCCCGCAGCGTCCATCCCAATCCTCATGGTACGGCCGTGCTCCGCGTGGTGTTGCTGCTCTCCATCCGGGCGGACCCCCCTCGGCTCGAATGGCACAGCGGGGGATAACTCGATGCTCTCCACTGTGGCAGGCCTGGGCCACCAGGTCGGAAAAGCCATCGATGGGTCGTGCGGAGGGGGGGAACCCTGACTGGGGGGGCCGGGATACCGGCCCCGTGGGGAGGCTCTGTCAGGTGATGCATCGCCTCCTGCGTGCTGCTCTGTGCCGCCCCTCTTTCCTCCTCAAGGGCTAGGAGGTCCTGCACCTGTGAGCAGGCGTCGTCGGCCTCTTTCCCTGCCAGGACTCCTTCCTGGTCGTTTGGGGGAACTGGTGCCGTGCCTCGGAGCCTACTCGGGCACACGTTTGTGTGCACCCCAGTGCTAATCTCCTCCCTCTGGTCACCACCACGACTCAGGGCACTGTCCCCAGATGCCACTTCATGGGCTCCTGCGTCCTCCAATGGGGGACATTCGTGGGGCGGTGCGGGATCGTAGCGCCTGCTCTTCGCTGAGCTGCCTATGCCACGATGGGAGCCCTGCCCATGTCCGGTTGCGGGGGGAACATGCGAGATCGAGGAATGGGAGGACGAGGTGCAGCCGATAGCCGCGGTCTCTGGTAAATAGTGGGGACACGCGATTTGCTTCCCTAGATCTCCGAAGCCCGCCTCGGTCCTGCTGAGCTTGCCCAGAGGATCCGTGGGGTCCTGCCTGGACGCGTGAAGCTCGAAGGAACCGTAGAACAGGAGCGTTTGCCCCCAGTCGGCACCAGACACCTTGCCAGGAGCGCTCAGGCCCCTCGGAAGCCTCGTAACGTAACTTGGGCCCCTGGCGGCCGTTCGGGACGATCTGGGCACCCCCGGACTGTCCTCGACGAGGCGCAGCTGCAGGAACGCATTCGAGGCTGAAGACCTGCCCAGATCGGACGAACGCGGAGGCCCTTCGAGGGCGACACCTCCCGGCCACAGGAAGATATCCGTCCCACTGTACCCCATGGCGGCCCACGTGGCAATGCGGCCGTGCTTGATCTCGGTGCGCCTCCTCCTGTCGACGACGTCCGCACCGCCGTCCTTTGCAAGGCCGAGCGGGTCCCAGTGGCCGACGGGCGCCTGCAGGCCCCACACGCTCTGGATGGCGCGCGGCGGCAGATCCGTGTGGGTCGCCCAGTCACCCCGGGCGGAGCCCTCGGCCACAGGATGAAGTCCTGCACGATGTACCCTATGGCCAGCGGCCCACGTGGCGACGCGGCCGTGCTGGACCTCGGTGTCTCTCCTCTTGTGGGGGGCGTCCGCACCGAAGTCCTTCGCAAGGTCGAGCGGGTCCCAGTAGCCGACGGGCGCCTGCAGGTCCCACTCGCTCTCGACGGCGCGCAGCGGCGAATCCGTGTAGGTCG